CATGGCAAGTGTGTGGAGGCCAAAGCACAACCCCATAAAGTCAGTTTCTCCATCCACCTTTGCATGGCTTCTAGAATCAAACTCTAGTTGCCAGAGCTGACCAGAAAGTGTTCTTACTCTCTGAGTCATCCAGCCAGCCCTCAAACTTCTATCATGGGAAATTATAGTCAAAGTTTGCATTTGCTAAAATACAGAGCCAACTTTTTTTTAACATGGTAATAAGCTCAGAGAAAAATGTATAAAAATCCAAATGCCCTTCTGTCTACCAGGAAAGAAATAGCTACAGGCAGGCTGTATCCCTCTGTAATTTACCCACAGGTGTACCCAACACTTGCATCCCTACCCTCTCACACACAAACTGATGTGTACATACAGAGGAAGCAAATTAAACATTCCCCAGAAATTCAAGACAAGATTGAGGAAAGTTCTTACAAGTTTTTAAACAGCTGCCCAAATAAAGATCTGTAGAAAGACTCTAATCAGATGTGACATGGACTTACAGCTGCTATAGCCTCTAAAAGCCTGGAGTCCCTGTGCCTGTGCCTCTTGTGGAAGACACAATGGGGGTGTTGTTATGTTTCAAACCTGGAACAAATGGCTAAGGTGTCCATTTAACATATCAAAGAGGACTCTGGCTGCCAGGTTCTCTCTGAATCCCTCAGTTCCTACCTGTTACAGGGCCCTGCTGTCTGGCAAACCCTGCCCCTTACTCTGAATTCTCCAGCCCAGAGTGCTGGGTTGCTCTTCCCTGTATAATCCAACCATTTTGGTTTCCCACTAACTTTGTACCTGTGGACCTCCTGTCTACTGCACCTGGTTCCCCTTTCTCTCCCTTATTCCTTCCCCTTCCCCTCTTCTCACATGTCACAGCTCAGGGTCATATGCACTCTGGACTCTCCCAGATGCCTCTGACTATGTCTCCCTTTTATCTACAATAAACTTTCCCCTCCACCATATCTAGGAGCAGTCATATCCTTTCCTCTTTCTTTCTCCTCTCCCCTCCCCCCTCTCTCTCTTTCTCTCTTCATTCATTCATTCATCTAGTGCCAAAACCTGGGAATGGCACAAATGAGCTCCCTTCTGGCGAACTCAACCATTCTGAAGTAAACTGTTGATCTGAGTCTCCTAAAGTATGTATGGAACATTTGTTTCTGCTGGCTTCTGTCACCAGCAAAATTTGATTCCAAATTCTAGAGTCTGATTCTTCGGCTGCTGCTTCAGCTACTGCTTCCCTCTACCTGCTTTCTAACTGCTGCTCTCCTTGCTCTGGCCTGCTATGCCCTCCACCGGAACCTATGTACTTCACTGGTTCCTACACCTACTATGCCTCTGGCCTGTTACACCCCCATGGTCTCTCTAGCATCCTCCTGAAGCTGCAGTCCTGCTCACAGCAGCCTGGAACTCTTTTCCTTACTTCCTCCCACTTGGAGCTCCATAAGTGTCTCTCTGGATCCTGGAGCCTGCTACTATACCCTTTTGGGCAGCCCACCATATGAGCAACTTTCTACACCTGTCTAGGTCTCTCTACTAAAGATACTTACTGGCTCCCTTTCCCCTGCTCTCTCCTAGCTTTCTCTCGCCTTCCCTTAGGAACTACAGAACACCTGCAGTACCACTAGGCTTTATTTTGTTCCAGTCTGCAAGTCTGTCAGCTTTAGCTCTCAGCTTCCTCCCTTCCTCCCACCCTCCCTCCTTCTCTCCCCTCATGGACTCAGATTTTATTACTGCAGCTTAGCCTCAGTACAGATCAATGGCCAAAAATTGACACACTTGATTTCCAAATTTGTAGATTGTAACTTCTGCCACAAACTAATGATCTCAAAGTCTCTTATCTCTAAGGTTCTACAAATTCCTACTCTTAAATCTTTTATCGATATGATTTCTCTTCACTCTGCTCTCAAAAATCTCTTAAGACTATGCTTAACTCTGTCTCAGGATTTATAAATTCCTTGGGTATGGTTTAAAAACTATAAAATATGTAATAAAATTTGGCTTTAAACTTATAACAGAAGGCTTATAATTAAAATCTCTATATGGGTATATATATATATTATTCAACTCTTGTCTAGAATATACTGTGTATGTAACTTAGATTCAACTCTTGTTTAGAAAAATAAATGTTCTTACATGACAACCATGTGGCTCTCCTCTATCTTGGGAGATCACCTCATCAAGGTGTAAGCAGCCACATGGCAAGAAGCCCTCTTTACTAAGGTTAAAGAGCAAAAGCCATGTGACTTTACCATTTTAAGATACATAGCATAAAGTAACAATTATAAAATTCCTCAGTCCTACTGAGCCCTTAGTTTATTGTTGTATCTCCTTTTAGACTAACAACAGGTCTCTAAAATACTTTGGATTGGTATGAATTTTTGTATTATGATAAAATGTAAGGTTATAAAGGTCTGTTCAAAAAAAGAAGGATAAGGGTGTCATTAAATATATCTGAGACCTATAGCTGAGATTTCTTCATCTTTGCTGTAATCACATACTTAATGCTTCCCCAAATATATTTAAAAATATTCTTAACTAATGACTTTCTTTGTTATGGTAACTATAAAAATTTCATAAACTTAGAACATGGAATTTGGGATAATCTCAATCTATGTCATTGAGCCATGGTCACTAATATTTGGTTTCATAATAAACTATCTCTTATCCCCTGTGGGGGGTTTTGCACAAATAATTGCTTACCCCTGCAAATAGGTAAGTTAATCAAGGAGCTTCTAACAACTAGTGGAACCTAACCTAGCTCATCCCTCTTCAAGGCTGAAAGCACAAAAATAAGAATAAGATGCATCTTGCTGTCAGCTTTTTAGATCTATTTTACAGATCTATTCTAGATCCCCAAAGGGGACTGACATCCTCTAGTCATCTGAAACCTTCATTTATCTGGAACTCTAGGAACCACAGAGCCTTGTAGGCAGATTGCCCCCTCAAGAGATCATCCTTGACCAACTCAGTATTCTGGGTTAGTCCTCTAACAATAAGGACTTGATCTTCAAACTACCTCATAGAACAAGAACTAAGTTAATGATCAAGCCAGCCTCATTCTTCCAAAGCTGGCTCAATGAGCATTCTTCTCTCCTGTTACTCCCAGTTATCTATTGAAAGCTACAGTTCAGGTCAATAGCTTAAAGAAAGAACTTCACTGAACCCTTATCCACAACATGCCCACAATTATTAAATCCTTCTCTTTTTTCACCATTTCTTGTCTCTTTTATTAGCTTGCTGGGATGAGTAGCTGAGCATAATTCCATGTCTGGGGTTTTGACAAGAAAGTCTAGGAACAAATGATAAACTATGGCACATCCAGACAATGGAATAGTCATCAGGCATGAAAATAAACAAGCCATGAACAAACATAGAGGAATTTTAAATGTATATTTCTACATGAAAGAAGTCAATAAAAAAGTATTATGTATCTGCCGGGCGGTGGTGGCGCACGCCTTTAATCCCAGCACTCGGGAGGCAGAGGCAGGCAGATCTTTGTGAGTTCGAGGCCAGCCTGGGCTACCAAGTGAGTTCCAGGAAAGGCGCAAAGCTACACAGAGAA